GTTGTGATGAATTCCTGTAAAATAAGACCTCCCCCAATTCCATCCTCTGATACGACCGCTCCCCTCCCATCCTACCCACCACTTTCCTAGATTTTCCCAACTTCCTACCACTTTTTCCAGTTTTTCCGGCATTTCCCGAAAAATTTCTAGTTTTTCCCAAAATTTTGCTGTCGAGCGGGGAGGGGAGGAGGGGGGGGGTACCCAATCCTCCCCTCCCGGGTGGGGGAGAACTGTCCAGTAACTACAATACTTACTTCCAACTGTCGATGTTATTTATGAACTGGGGCGCTACCACACCAGGGTGCAGAGACAATATAACACCACCTGAAACGGGAAAAACCCAAAAAGTCAGCAAATCCAACTTTTCGCTACACATGCAACTACCCCCCCCCGTTCGGAGACGCTCCCCCCCCCACCCGCCCGTCTTTCTCCTGCCTTGACAACGACCTGCTAAATACGATCCTTTACAGCGTTCCGTCCAGAAATCACCATTTCAAAAAAGAATTTCTTAGACAATACGACCGCCCCCCTCCCTCGTGTCAAACGACGACCGCCATCGTTGTGATTATCACAACTGAAATGGGTCGAAATGGACAAATCAGCATTGGTTTTGCGCTGGTAAATGCTCACCTGGCGCCAGCTCACTCCGCCAGCGTTGGTTACGCGTCGTACACCTCTCTTCTCTCTCACCGCTGGTCCCTCCCCTGAAATGACAAGAGATCTTGACCTCTGGCTCAAACCACTATCCTATGAAGAGCACTACTATGCGCGCTTGCGACGATGTCCCCTGCTCTTCTTCCCAACAGTAAGTCAATGTGCACATCCGCTTCTGTTCTTCAAACTTGCCACTTAAAGACACTTACCGCGATAAAGTGGTCCTCAAAATGAATTCGTGCTGTTTGGAACCCTCTACGCCTTGACGAAGATGATAGCACTTTCATCCCTCAATATGGCGCGATAAGTTATAGCGATTTCCACAAGGCTCGCTAGGCTCCTACGTATTGGACGAGGCGTCCGGTCCCGAGCTGCTTCCGTCCCTTTAACGCCCGCGCGGCGCGTCTCGTGCGCGGCCCTTCTGGCTTTTAGCCAAAGTTGGTTTATAGCTGTTTATAGCTGGCTGGGAAGCGCAATTCTTAGAAAAGCATACAAGAAGGAGAGCGCAAGAAACTAAAGAACAGTAAGGAGAATTGAAGAAAAGCACGGGGAGATGAGTATCACGCTTAGAAAGTCTTTTCTCCGCTTGATACTGAGAAGAGCCTCCTTCTTTCTCCCAGCTCACTCTGACAGAAAAACCTTGTATATCAGTGGAAAGTTTTATCGAGACATCGATGCCCGGGAAATTTACTCGACACACGCAAGTGATGGATTAAACGGGAGCTCTCCTCTCCGACAACCGTCGATTCAGGGGCGTAGCTGTTTCCGCAGTTTCCTATTTCCTATTCGAATTCGAAAATTATCCTATTTCGAAAGTCGGGGACGCGAATTGCGGCCGCCGCACGATCCCGGCAGCCACTGCCGGCGCACTCGTCCAGGCCCCGCGCTTTCCACTGCTAAAGCGGAGTCCGATGTGCTTGGGTGTGTTCGCGAGGTTTTTTTTCCTCTGGGTTACAATATGGGCCATCTGCTGCGGTTACTGGGGGGGGGGCACATATACCCTAACACTCAACGCTTAAGTGGGTCTTTAAATTCATTCAGTGTTTTGGAAAACATATCTTTAAATAAGGCAACAGCGGCGGATCCCCTGGCTGAGGGCGGCACCTTCACTTTCTGGTCTCCCTCTACTATTTACATTTGCTTATCATCTATTTTTCGTTCCTTGCCCAGTTTGATTTTTTTATCAAGTATCATTACATGACTGTTTCATGTGTCGCTTCTTCTTTAGTTTCTCCCTATGGGGCATGTACGGTTGACTATTCTTTTCCTGGGTCTTCCATCTAGTAATTTCATTACTAAGCCTGTATTTTTGCCATTTGCATGATTTGCTAATTCCATTCATTCAAAACGCACGATCTTCAGAAAAGCTTAATCCTAGTTCCACGAGAATTCTAGCGTGCTGCACGTAGAGAGGGAGGGGCTTCCATGAGAGTCGGAGTACGCGCGCTAGTATTTGTGTTGTTCACACCGACCCTGCCAAAGGAAGTTTGCGAATACCACTGTAAACTTTCTACTCCTCCTTCTACAACCCCTCTCTTTCCTCCATCCACCTACCAACCACCCTTCTAGACTATCAGCTCTCCCTACCACCCTCTAGTTTTTTGCTAGTTTCGAGTGCTGGGGGTCTATACTTTTTCCCAAGAAAAACCGCCGTCAGGTGCGGAAGGGGCGGCGTATAGCAGCGCACTCGTTGTCAGAGCAGGAAAAACCGCGAACAATCAACGACATGGACATTTAAAAAAGTCGACGACCCTTCATCCTCCGGCAACCAAACACGACCCCATCGCTGGGGATACCAACCTACAGCATGTGCTCATTGTAAATGACACTTGTTTTTCGTTTTTTGCTTTCTTCTATGTGTTTGCCTGAGCCCGCGTCACCACATTCAACCGTGTCCCAACGGGAATTATATGGTATGCCTTAGGCCGCAAAAAAAACAGTACATAAAGCTTAAAGACGACATGAAAAAAAGTAGAAGAAGTGAAGAAAACAGAAGGAAAGAAAGTGAAAAAGTGCCGAAGTCGGAAGTTGAAAGAAAAGCAATAGATACGTACGATTTGAGAGTGAAGAATGCGAAAGTCGGAAAGTTGCGGATATCGAAGAAATGCCGGTTGAAGAAAGCAAACAGATCATGTATCGATTTTTAAGAAATTGCGGAAGTCGAGTGCCAAAGTGCGAAGTGTCGGAAAGTGCGGAATCTTGCAGAAGCTCGAAAGTGCGGGAATCTGCAGGAAAGCTGAAGAAAGCATTAGATACGTGTGGATTGAAGAAATACGGAAAGGCGGAAAGTGGCCGAAACGTGCTGGAAGGATGCGAAGTCAAAATGATACATATACTATTGCTTTCTTCACATTCGCGATTTCTGCAATTCCGCACACTTTTGCCGCACTTTCGCATTCTTCACTTTTCTTCATGGCGCAAGCTATGAACGCGCCTTAGCAGCACGGCGTTCCCGAAGAGCTGATGAGTGGCGTACGCGTCCTGTACTTTCAGCCCGAAAGCAGTCGCAGTGCGGCCAGCAGGCATTCGATGGGGTTCCCACCACAGTTGGGTGCCCAAGTTCAGCGTTTTCCCCGGGCTCTTCATTGTCGTCTATGACGCCATTTCCCGGACCTCCGAAAAGCCGCTCCTTGGACGCTTCTTTACATACTCTACAGATGCTCCCTGCGAGGTTAAGAACAGTATCGAGCACAACAAGTGCAAGCTTGACATGAACGCGTTAGCCCCAACCTTCCGCGACTCAGACCCCCCTGAACGTCAAGAAAACCGAGTACCTGACGACTGACCCGGACGAGTCTGGTTCCCTTAAGGTCAGCGGCAGTGTGCTCACGCGAACTACAGCGTTCAAATACCTCGGATCAACAATTACGTCTGACGGTAATCTCGATTCAGAAGTGAGTGCACTTGTGAGTGTAGCCTGTTCTTAAATGGCGGCATCTACGAATGCTTCTCTTGCGACAAGACAATACCAGATCGCCCAAATCGCAAGATCTATAGGAACCGTCTTTTCGCCAGTCGCCCTCCCTCCGCCCCGCTGAATGTTGGCCTACGACCAGAGAAGTTGAAGCGCGCCTAGGAGTCATGGAGATGAAAATGTTGCGATGGACCGCCGGTGTCACGCGTATGGATCGCATACGCAATGACGACATAAGGAAGAGATTCGGTATTGCTCCTGTGGCCGAGAAAATGCGCAAAGCTCGCTTTCGATGGTACGGTTCATATCATCACGCGAACTGTGACACTGGAAGTTCCCGGAAAGCGGCTAGAGGACAACCCAAGCAGCGCTGGTCAGACGTGTTGCATGGACTTTGAGGTGTTCGACACACATTTCGATCAACATTTAGTTGGAGAAAGTGACGTGACAAATAAGGCCAAGACGACTTCTTGCTGGTGCGGACAAACGCTGAGAAGAGAAGTAAGGAAAGGTTTTGCGTTGCGGATAAAAGAGGAGTAATCAGTGGATAAGTCGGCGCTGGTCCAAACCTTCTCCACCAGTTGTTCAAGCGAGCAAGTGACAAGATGGTGCTATAGCATGTCGTATGGGTCGTTAATCATCCTTTCTTGTCCCGTTACACGCTCCAGCAACTGGATTCGAAATGCGTGTGGCGCATGCAAATGCAGTCGCTGTGACACGCCATAATCCGCAGCGACCAGAGTAGTACAGCGTCTTTCGCGTCACGCGAGATAATGATCATTGTCAAAGGGAACTGTTGCAAGGGCACTCTAGAAGAAAGGGATGGGTTTGTCGCGCATGACCATTAGCTGCTAGTGTAGCCTCGAGGATTCTCACGGTTCTACCCACTCACCTGCCAATTCCCACCCTTTCCGAAAATTGACTTCGGAAGTTGCTGATTGGTCCAGGAACCTGTACCCAGGGAATTCCATTTGATTCGGTACGTCACATGTCGTCTTACCCGGTTACGTTATCACGTTTTCCCAACTTAAAAAGGCTAATACATCTAATTAATTTTGTTCAAAAATACAACTCTATAAGATACTCTACAAGTAAGGGAGCCCAGCCATGATTTTGCAAGTGCTGATTCACTAATCAAAGAAAGAAACAGTCGCAAATTCCTCTTTGCTTCATGTGTCAATCCACTTTGTTTTAGCATCGCACCAGAATGCGGCGAAGAAAGTTCCAGTGACGCCAAGCCGGGAGGCAGTCGAGACGCCAAGCAGGGAAGGAGTGGAGACGCCCAGCAAGGAAAATATAGAGACGCCGAGCAGGGAGGGAGTGGAGACGCCCAGTAAGGAAAATGTAGAGACGCCGAGCAGAGAGGGATTGGAGACGCCCAGTAAGGAGAAAATAGAAGACACCCATCAAGGCGAAAAATCGGACGGCCGTCATGGACATTATGCAGGCGCCCATTAAGTTGACTGTAGGTTCGGGCAGCAAGGAGAAAGTAGGGCGACCCAGCAAGGAGAAGGTAGAGACACCCAGCGAGTCAGCAGAGACACCCGGAACAGTGACACCTGGAGCAGTGACACCTTCCACGGAAAGAACAAAAAAAGAACAAGAACAATCTAAAGTGGAGAAGACCAGTGGCATGACCATAACGCAGCGGTACGTTCATGGGCATCAATGTGGTGTACGCGGGACTATTTACCATTGTAAGCCACCTCTGGTGGCATAACTGGAACATCCCAAGCGGTTACGAAAAGGCAGTGGAAATGAACTCATGGTTTAAACGGCGGAACGTTTGTGTTAACCACCTCATGTTCAGACCGTCACAAGAAGAAGAACAGGCTGGCGGAGGATGCAAGGAAGGAACAGCGGAAATGGCCTTCGTGGAACTTGTCCAAGATGGCTTTTTTCGTATCCGTAGGTGAGTGAGGAATTTCTGACCACTGCTTTTTGTTCTAAATCTCGCTTTTACTCCTTTATTTTGACTGCTGGCGTACTTTTATCTACTGTATTGACCCATAACATGAGATTCCTCAACGCTAAGCATAATTCGCAGTTACCATCCACATGCTTTGTCTAGGTGCTTCCATGCAGAACATAGTCGCACAGTGTCTCGCCTTGCCGCTCAGCAGTGAGTAAGGCTGCGTGCCTGCGTTCCGAGGGGTGGAGAAGTAAAAGCATCGATCTGGCGTCTGCCAGCGTCTACCAGCGTTCACCAGCGACTAGGAGTAGAGAGAGTATGGGGAAGTAGGAGGGTAGCAAACAGCTGGATTAGGCGTCGTGAAATTGCGGCGTGTGCAACCGCACCGCACAACTGCTAAAGCACAGAATTATGCAGTCCATTGTACTGTAGTGTAGTTGTCTAATG